TCATTAAAAATAGATTTATTAAATATAGTATATAAATGATATTTTAATTCTTCTTCTATTAAAATTAAAATTAAATATAAATTAAAATTAAAATTAAAATTAAATATCTAGCCGATATCAGTTACATATCGACACCTGTTCGATCACGAAAGGTGAAAAATTACATAACAGATAAGTTTACATATTTTTGAAAAACAACAATATTAATTATAATTTATTTATTATAATTATAATTTCTATACGGCAAATGATTTATTTTGTTTTGTGTATAAAAATATCAATATATAACTCTTAAGAAATAAATAGTTCACGTTTAGTCTACAGCTACAGATATTCCACGTTTTATATCTGAATATGACAGAATGAAATATCAAATATCTCGTAGATTTAAAATCTTTGATTGAAACATTATTTTAATACTTTTATATATACAAATTGAATAAGAAAATTATATTTTGTAAAAAGGAATTATATAATGTCATTGAAAAAAATGGTATGTACAAAAACATTTCGACAATGATGCTATTTATAAATAAATCAATATCATAATTATGTGGTCTCCTTACTGCGGCTGCAAGTTTTCTGAGTTCAGGATCTAGAGGGAAAAAGGATGAGCAGTTTCTGTAACATGTAGCTTGCCAAAGGATGGCAAGCTACATAACACTAAATTGGGACTGAGTTTACCTTAAAATCAATAAGAGGCTACAGAGATATTTCTTAGATCTAGGTAACATTAGGGACTTTAATCCCATCTGCTTCTTTGCCATTACTACTATTACTAAAGATATTATTAATAAATCTAAGCTATTGAAATAGATATTATGCAATCGATACTTTTTGTTTCTCATTTGCATACAAGAGTTGACCTATTGCTGATATTGCAATAACTGTGTATCATTATGATATATTACATTGCATCCCAAGAGAGACATAGCAATTAAAGGGTGTCATGGTTACCTAATAAGTAACAAAATGAGTAACTTTGACTTCTACTTTATTACTGAATACAGTACTCATTTGCAGTTTTAAATTTAAACTTGCCAGGTATAAGTGGAAAACGAACGTTTTTTATTACATTGCTCATTTATCGTTAAAATACAAATTCAAGGATTACGTTTAAAGAAACATACATATTATAA